GCTGCTTGTACTAGTCCGGACTGATGCCGATTTATAGTGCTAGCTCACTGAGATACCATACCGCAGTTTAACCTGAATACCCCACTCAGACACAGTATACTGACTCCGAGACGACCAGTCCTTGTTTTAGCCCCTTAATGCCAAGCGCCAGACAGGGTAACAACAAGTGCCATCTTTTAACGTCTTTTGGTATGAAATGGTCGGGGATCGAACCCCGGACCTTCCGTTCTCCGGGCGGACGCTCTACCACTAGACCACGGAGGCGGTACTCAGCCACATGTCTTGACATCAGTTGACAAATTGTAATTATTTCTTACTTCTTAACACCTTATGTTTAAACGAGCTTGAATGTTAAAGCTTGCTTGTTGTTTAACGCCGCACTAAGCAATATTCAGCCTTATATGACGGCTGCTCGTACATAATGGAGACATCACCGGACAAACCAGTAACTGATATTGTAATCAACGATCCACGCGGTCGAGGTACGATGGCAGCATCAAACAAGTTACTGAGACTGACCGACCATCCATTAAGGCGCCTCTAACGACAAGCATAAGCTACTTGGGAAGCTCAAAGGGATTTAAACATTAACATCGTGTCACTATGTTGTTAGTATATGTCTATACATCTCTTGGACATGGTGGATATGGCAATCATTCATGATTGAATTGTAATTAATTCCTATAAAATTCAGCAAAATCGTTTAAGTGGATAGCTACAGTAAAAAAAAAATACTAAATGATGTCGGACTGTCAGAAATATTCATAAACCCGTCTATTTGCTCTACTTCATGGCTGGTTTCAAAGGTCGAGAGAACTCTTAAAGACCAATTTATTCAACAGTGGCGAGAATGTATTTTATCGAGTTCAAAAGGTTTATACTACCAACATTTAAAAGAATTACCAAAATTCGAAAAATTTCTATTACTTCCCAAAACTATCTACTTGCAAATTTTACAATTTCTGTTGGAGACGAATTTCACTATCTTTTTAGGTGTGAAGCACTTCTCCAGCAACGACTTCTCTACATCCCACAGAATTGTTATATCTGGCCAAATATGTGTAAATTGCGTAAAACGTTATCACCTAAAAATATATCCACTTTGAAACATCTGTCCAGATTCATCATAAATTTGAACTCATTATTGCGTTAAGGTGTCTAATTTTATTTCTTTTGATGATGATGATGATGATTATTTTTAGTACTTTATTTGCTTAATTTTTATATATTTTAGGCTTGTTACAATCTTGATCTGCATTGTATATTATATGTTGTATATATATAGATATATACTCTTGTACCACCGTTGGTGGTTTTTCAGAGAAATAAACTGAACTGAACTGAACTGTTAATGCTATCCATGAAAGAACAGATTCAGTTATGAAATAATGAGTCTCTAGAATTATCGTTTCAAATAGTGAAATGACAAAGTCAAATTTGCCACACTCGAGTTGGTCACGAAAGGTGTAAGTTATGCACGTAAACGTGCCATCATGGTCTCAGGGTCAGGCTCCCTTTGGTACTCATACCTAAACCATCCTTCCAGAACTCAACTTCATCATCATGTAATTACTCTCTCCTCTAAAGATAGCCATAACTACACTGACGTTTGACCAAGGGTCAATCAAGGGTCCCTTAGTAAATATCCTTTGGACAACATTGACATGACATGCAATGCGGTCATTCATGAACTGGACAATGGTAATTTATGGTTAGTTATAGCGCCCTAACACGAATATACCAGCTGTCACTGTGTAGGATAAAATATCGAGCTTTGTTAATAATTTGCCAAGGTGTGAGTGTACTTGTATTCACATTGTGGACAAAGTTACATACGATACAGGAAACACACCCGACGTTCTACGAAATACACCGGAACCATCTTTCTTATTCTTTTAAGCGATTTATTAATGTCGCTGTATTTGATGAACGATAAATGATGGTATATTTAAAGTTGATCTCATTTTAATCATTCATATATATTGCCACCTGAATCACTCGAGCACTTCTAACTCGAATTTTCGACACTATTTGTATCAACTAGTGAATGAGTTTGGTTGAACGCCGCTTTGAACAGTATTCCAGTTATATCACGGCGTGTCAGCTTAATGTGGGGTTAAAGCCCGAAGTAATGTAGGTCTCAGGGACGCTACTCGGCGTTGACTAAAATGATGCAATACAAGTCCCGCTATCAAACGCTTTTGCGTTTGAACCTGAGGGACCTTTTCTTATTTTCTTTTGGGAAAGTGGATTCTACATCACATCATCTATACGTCATCTTCAGCAAGGCCAACATACATGTTACAGGTTCATGTTATGCTTGTGCCACTGACACTGACAATTCACCACGCAGAGTTGCGTCCCTTATCAGTGCCAGGAGCCGGGATTCGTATCCATTTCACCTGACCTCACCAAACCTATATTGGCTTTCCGAAAACGAGTCAAACCAGCCTATCACATATGTTTGCTAACATTGATTGGTTAGAATTGGCTCACCCCAAATGTGTATAATTTATCATAAGTATAATTTATGTTGACATTAACTCTTAATTGCAAAATAAATATTTTTTATTGCATATATGTTCTTCGTACACGCTAACTGATGGGAAACCCAGAAAGAAATAGGAACAGCCTATTAACGCCAGTAATACAACATCAAATGTGAGCTCCGTGTTTGACGAACTTACTTCGACTGTCAACTGGCCATGTCTAGTTTTCGATCTAACGTTCCATCCATAGAATTATCTATTAACCTCAAGTTTGCTTCTGGTGCATCAAATCGATAGGCGTTGTGCGGTGTTTTCATAACGGGAAATTCAGTTGTCTGCAAACAACTATTTTCACATTCGGTACTTGATACCCAACAAAGGTATTTAATCAATCAATCACTACTGTTGGGAGATTGAGCGTCAGTTGCAAATGGTTGAAGGCTCATTCTGCATCGAGAACACGTACGACGTTTAATCCTCAAAAAGTCAAAGAAATGTCCCAGGACTATTCGGTTAAACAAAATAACAATGAAGACAATGAATAATTCAACATGGAAGAAAGCAGATAGAGTGCCAACCGTTCCCTTTTTTAACTTGGGGTTGACGTAAAGGGATTTTTTTTATAAATGCTGTCTTGATTTTCGATCGGTCTTCTGTTTCGTGAAGCAAACCCAAACAAGCCTGGAAGTCACGTAATTGACCAATCACGTGCATTAATGACGTTAGTATGATAGATTTAATAGAACAGAAATATCTTAGATAATCTTGTCTGCTACTTTCACGACATAGATTGAACAGACACTGACATAGAGCCGTTCAGCGAGTTCAAACTGGCGACAGTCGTAAATAACTCGTAGACTGTGTAACAGGTTAAGTGAGGCGGCAGTGCAAACATGGAAACTACTGGAAACTATTGACTTTTTTAAATGCTGCTTAGCAGGCAACATTTCATTTATTATTATTATCATTATTATTATTTATTTTTATTTATTTTTTATTTTTATTTTTTACAGATTAAAATAAAAAATGCAGCAAAGAGGGTTTGGGTGATCCTGGCAGCTCAGGGCCCTTGCTCCCTCTACACGCAGCCCAGACAGCGAATAATGGGACTTCTCCCAGGAAGCGCTGCCTAGTAAAACCCACCCAGAACGTCAGGACTCCCCAACACTGCAGTACCCAGATTGTCAGAAGGGCTGCATTCCTGGTAGCAAACCCGGGTACTCTCCCGATGTCAGTCAGCAGATTGGGAGGTACCAAACCTAAGGCACCGAGAACAATGGGAAGTCGGACAACTTGGTACTTGAGATGCAAGCGTGACATTTCAAAAGCGAGGTCCGCATATTTCCGCATTTCTTGTCAATCACATTAGTGTCAAAGGGGACAGAAAATTCAAAGACATAAATGATTTCATTATCATGATTATTATGATTGTGATGATGATGATGATTATTATTATTATTATTGTTGTTGTTGTTGTTGTTGTTGTTGTTAAGTTGTTGTTGCTTTTTTGTGGGTTCTCATTAATAATTTTCCCTGACTTTTACTCACAATGTAATTTAGGGTTATCAAAGAGTTAAGCTCATTTTGGCGTTCGAGGACCCTGACAGGGCAAATAGATTCGAGCCAGACTTCGAGATGTCAAGGGAGGTGCAGTTGTTCAGTCGAAGTTGTATTTAAACGAATTGTACCTGGGCTGCGTCCCGCAAAACGAAGCAAGTCAGGGGCCCTGGTCATGCTCAGCCTCGAGCTAAAGCCCCCTTTACACAGGGCTGCGACCTTTGTGCCACCTTTGAGCGATCAAAAACTGGCCAGGACGCTCAAAGGTCGCCTAAACCCAGAAAATCATGTTTCTGTGTAACTGCTCCAGCAGTTGTTCAGCAGTAACTGCTCGAGTTGTTCAGCGTCTGCAACCACAATGAAACACTGCAGGTACACGCACTCTATTTACAGGCAGGCTGAGGAGGCACTACAGGTAGCTCAAAGGAGGCAGAAAAGAGGCAGAAGCATTGCCATGGTGTCTCAAGGGTTGCCGTGGTCGCCGAATAGAGGTATGGCGGTCGCCAAAGTCCTCGTTCAATGCACGCTGTTGATCGCCCAAAGGAGGAACATGGGAGGTAGAAGCGTTGCCCATGATTGACGGGAAAATATTTAAGCAGAACGCATCTGTTACCTGGCGACCATTGGGCGACTATTGTGTCTTCATTCTGCAACAGCGGCAATGCTTCTGCCTCCCTTCTGCCTCCTTTGAGCCACCTTTGAGCAACCAACCTCCTCGGCGACCTTTGTGCGACTGTTTTGAACATGTACCACCTTGGAACGACCTAGGCAACCATTCTGCCTCCTTTGAGCCTCCAACGATGACCTGGCAAATTTTATGGTCGCACACGGGAGGCACAAAGGTCGCCATCCTGTGTAAAGGCCCCATAACCGACATCGGCATAACGTGAACAGAATGTTAGACAAGTATTCGAGCGAGGTGGATCTGAAATATGAAGATGCATTAATACTCACCGTATAAAACTCGTACATGCTTGAGGTGTAGTTTTCATTAGAAGTCCTTGTTTCATTGATGTTCAGATTCCCAAAGCTTTGGTTGTCCATTGTGACTTTTTTAGTGTTTTTGAGTTGTGTTTCAGCTGTTTACAAGTCCTTCGCGGCCGGCTGTCTGGATACACTACCAGACCAAAAAGACTTTATAACTCTAGAGAAGGTGTGAAGATGGACTCGAACCAATCAATTACGCATGTTCAACAGTCAAATCCAGTGAAGCGGTATGTCCACAGACAGGGAAACACTTGAACACATTTCCACCCAGTTTGTTGAATATCTTCCTAACCAGATTTATAACGAGGAGTCTGTTTCAAAACTTGAACTCCAGGTGCCCTAAGCAGATAACATTAACCACGTGTACAAATATAGTGTCATCCAACTCAAGGTAGAAATAAGTGTTCATAGCTCATACTGAACCATATATTCTCCTGAGAAATGCTTTGATCTCGGTTATCCGTTGAAATCCTTCATCTGTCTTAATGATAAAGCTTTTTTAAAGCAATACCCAAAGCAGTTTAGGACATTAAGTCTGAAATTCGGAGAATAATCCTGAAGTTCTAGGCATCTAGGCCTTTGAATGGTCACGGAAAGTATTACAGTCCATTAACTCGTTCCGTCTGTTTTCAGAATTGGTAACTTTGACGGAGGTTAGGGAGATGTCGGCTCTTGATGATCCCCGGCAGTCTGACTCTGTAACAGTAAAGACAAACCATTAACTCAATATGCACATGCGACAATGTTAGTGATCAAATAGAGAGTGGCACAGTTGTCAGGCCAAGGTCAGAAGTGCCGTGACGAGAGGGTAAAGCGCCTTCCCGAGGCAGGCGTGTCAATCAACCTAAAGCAAAGTCCACCCTTGCCATTTCAAGCCTACTTTTCTGTGCTAAAATATGAGAGGATTATAGCACATATCTATAGTCCAATCAGAGAACATTTTACAAAAGCAACATCCGTGTTTCAAAAACCAGGTCGAGGCTATGGCCACAGTGAACTGTGGAATATGCGCTGAAATTATCAATAAGATTCAGCAAAGTTTGCATCTAACTCGTCCAAGTACTTTTATGAATTTGAGTGCAAACTTCATTGTTTGTAACACAAACGACCGACAACCAATCGCAGTGACTCAGATGCAGTGCTTTCTTTCTTTCTTTATAATGGGGCGTCAAAGGTCAATGTTATATTTAAGAATTGACCTTCACTTTGTGTGAGTTCATTGGAGTATGAACCTTCATAATGTGAGGGCCAAACTGTATGAACGTCGGAGCTTTCGTGAACAATCATGCAGTCAAGCTCTCTTACGTTTCTCAATGTATACTGAAATGCTGAGACCAAGCTTAAAGGTTCTAAATGATCAGAAATAATGTTTATGTATGTTTTCGTGCTAGGGAATTCCCAGGGGTTTCCCCAGGAATGTGGAAGTAGTCCGTCAGTGTTTACGTCATTTCAAGAACACGGTCTCGTGAAAAACGTATGAACGTCAAATTGTGTCGTTCATACACTTATGAACGTCAATTTCGCGGTCATGTGACCGACCTCTCGTCCAATGGAAAAGCCGTATATCGCGTAAACGTGAAATTAAAAATATATTGAACATTGAAATCTGTATGGCTGTTGATCACCAGTTGATCACTTCTAGAGAAGCTTACCGCGCACCGCCCTTTCAGGTAACAGATGTGTGTTGATCACCAGTTGATCACTTCTAGAGAAGCTTACCGCGCACCGCCCTTTCAGGTCACAGATGGGTGTTGATCACCAGTTGATCACTTCTAGAGAAGCTTACCGCGCACCGCCCTTTCAGGTAACAGATGTGTGTTGATCACCAGTTGATCACTTCTAGAGAAGCTTACCGCGCACCGCCCTTTCAGGTCACAGATGGGTGTTGATCACCAGTTGATCACTTCTAGAGAAGCTTACCGCGCACCGCCCTTTCAGGTCACAAATGTGTGTCGGTCACCAGTTGATCACTTCTAGAGAAGCTTACCGCGCACCGCCCTTTCAGGTAACAGATGGGTGTTGGTCACCTATCCAATCATTGTCAGTATTGCCCGAAAATCTTAAGAGTTGAAAGAAATTTTATGCAAAGTCAGGATTGGATGGTACCTGGAATGAAACACCACGAAATACCGAGCATAGCTTGCGTTAGCTCGGCAGTGACACTATATACTACACATACTTGGGTTACAGGGAGTTCTGTAGATATTGAACGGCGAGAAGTATATCAGCAGATAACTGGTATATGCCATCATTGTCAATATACTCAGCATGATATGTATATAGGGACTTTTTTTAATAGAAAGGGTGTATTTTGAGACCAAAAATCACAATACAGGCGATGGGTGTTTGCAAAATAACCATGAAAGCCATTGGCCTTTGGTAGTCGTTTTATATTTGTTGAAAACACATCAACAAAGGATTTAATTATCGTGTTGAAACACCTTGCATTATGTACACACGATCGCCAACACGAACTCCGATGTGATACTTTCTTGTATGATTAAACAGAGGGGGGGGGGGGGGGGGGGGGTTGTTCCTATGCACCACCCGCCCATCCAGACCCCCCCCCCCCCCCCCCCCCCCCCCAATCCAATACCACCCACCCCTGGTGAAAGAAGATGTCAACTACGGTAACGCGTCCGCTCTCGTTGGAGCCTCTTCGAACCTTTACCCTAGGACAAGTGTGTCTCGGTAATTATTGTGATTATTTTTGTTTTTACTGATTTTTGTGACATTTGTATCTTCAAGGAAAACTACACACAGCAGACACATACTGTGTCCAATATGATATCATTCCTCTGGCGAGACTAGACGAACATTAATTATTAACCCTGTTCACAAAGAATGTTTTTGTTGCTATGGTCCTTGGGCCTTATAACTACAGACATTTTTGTTACCTCCTGTGGATGCACATCAGAGGTGATGTACTTATGTGTGGAATGTCGTTCGACCTGCCATTGGTTCTTCACTTTTAGTAATTGCCGTCCATATGTACGTTATCACGCCATTATTCCATACAGGAAGGTGTATGACGCAGGGATATTATTAGTCTAAGATAGCGTTCAATATCAGTTTGGCTGCTGGTGTTTTTCGTTTCCTCTTCCCGTTATAATGTTGCTTCCATTACTCTCCGCGCTAAAAGGCTGGATTCTTCTGATCGAAGGCTAACAGTAAAGAAGGAGAATATACGATAATCCCTTATGTTTCCTCCCATCCGAACAGACAGTTTGTTTCCGTCCATTTGTGACCGAATCGTGTCATTCCGGAGAATAATAAGAATAAGAATAATAATAAGAATAATAAAACAGCAACTGTTTTCAGTCCCGTGTTGCAATAACAATTCATTTATTATTGGCTAGGTATGGAGACCGGAATTCTAGTCCACTAACGTGATCGTAAAAAGCTATAATTGCTTTCTTTCATACCTCTACTTGAGCTGAATGGGTTCAGCATAAGCAAAATGATTGCGCGCTTGCGGCGTTGTATGGTCGGAGTGTGACTTTTACAGAGTTGATTCCGCGATAGACTTGCCAGGAACCAGAAGCCGACAGTAGCCAGACATTGGTTTGACGGGTGGCTCATCGGGTGACAATTACGCGTGACCCCGGCTAAACGAAAGTTTGTAAGATAGATGAAAGCCGTGCATCAAACTGCCGAAAAGGACGGCATTTTAAAACTGTGAATACGCATCATGGACATGAGTGCCATCAATCGCGGTTGAAACGGGTTCCCTCCCATAACGTAGACCTCCAAAATGCAGACCTCCCAAAAAGCAGTTAAAATTAGCTCACTAATTAATTGGGCCATGCTGGTCACACCTAATTAATGAATGGACTGGTCCACTCCCCTGCTATGATGGATTATCAATATGTTGAGACAATGAGCAGTAGTGGACAACAACAACATTGTCTTAAAAAAAAACCTCCTTTCTTTGACCTGCTCCCGGCACATCACAAATCTTATTCAAACATTACCTTTAAACAAGTTGTGGGATTTGTGTAAGAATATACCAAATGTCCTCAATCACTAATACTTCCTTCTCTTGTGTATGGTATTACATATAATTATATTTGAACATGAGCTTCAACCAAAATTTAAACCAAAACATCAGCCCCAGCTATAGCTCGTAAACACCCCTTACTTACCCCAATATCCCAAAGAATAACAAACTACCTAAATGAACACCAAATTAAAAATCTTAAACAAAACTTCAAACAATCAAATATCGTGGTACAGTCCGGTTCAAGACCAATCTACCACCTTCAGCTGATATTGTCAGAGTGCTATTAACTAACATCCTTTAGAATAAATATTAAACGTCAACGCCAGAGAATAACCAGTCTCGCTTATCCCCCGAACCAGATATCCGTTATAGCGTTGAAAATGATATACAGTAAACTACGGTTATAACGAACACGCTTATAACGAACTGACGGATATAACGAACTTACCTTTTTGGTCCCGACTATTTGCTGTAGTTATGCTGTATATATGCTTATAACGAACTACGGTTATAACGAACTAAAATTAGTAGTCCCTTTGAGTTCGTTATAACCGTACTTTACTGTAAATGGATCACTGAAAATCAGTGATGAGGCGTTCGCGAAAGCGGTAAGTATACCATCATATTGTACTTTTACCTTATTCCTAAGGGCGAACAGACAAGTACACTTTTAATACAATCCTTCTATCCCAAACGCCAGTCACAATCATATCCACGTGTGTCCTGACACAAATTATGTCAGATAATCAAAGTAAACACCACCACAACTGTTATTCACCAGAAACCATTTAATGATGGCCTTGCCTTTAATGACTGGGCTCCTGGCAGCTTCGTTACCGCAATGACGTCATCGCCGAGGGCCTGCGGCCGACTAGGCGCAGAGCAGGTGCGACTCAAACGGTATTCGGAGCTCTGACCATCCGGGCAATAGTGCCACGGTCGACATAGGCAAAAAGACAATAGCCTGTAGAGACAGACGCATAATGAAGGCCCGGTAATTATTTTTAAGGTTGCCTCTCCGTGACTGGCATTCCGAACAGCTTTTGGAACAATTATGTTTGTTGCACTTGTTAAGCGAAGTAAACATATAAAGAACATATTTTACATTGTATCAGTGATTAGAGGTATCGCCACATGTGCTTGACAAGGGGACAAAATTCGTTAACTGAAAAGTGAGGAAGTTGATTTGAACAGCATCTGGCGTGTTAGTCAAATTTTGAAAATCGTAGACCGTAAATGGGTTTTAACATCGCGTTCAAGATTATTGGACATATTTAGAGACGAGCAATGGTGCTTGTGTGTAGCTGCTTGTTCTACTTCGGAGTCTACTTCGCACAAATGCTGGTTTTATAGTGCTAGCCCACTGAGATACCATGCCGCAGTTTAACACAGATACCCCACTCAGACAAAGGAAACTGACTCCGAGCCAACCAGTCCTTGTTTTAACACATAACTGACGAGCGCCTTGCGGGGTAACAACAAGTACCATGTTTTAACGTCTCGTGGTATGACGGAGCCGGGGATCGAACCTCCAACCTTCCGCTGTCCACTAGACCATGGAGGCGTTATCTTATTTACTATGTCAGAACTTTACTAAATTACTATATCCGGGTATGATGCCAGCTTTTAACCAAATTAGCGAAACACAAGAGCCCGGATATGCTGGCGGTGAATGTCAGCGGATCCGGGACAT